TCGCGAAGGGGAAATAGAAAGATGGGGGGGAAAAAATAAAATAAAATAAAATAAATTCCAAAGCGAAGCGTGCTTTTTCTTTGGAAAAAATTCTTTGGGTAGTTCGCAAAATGATCGGAATTCCAAGCATCCCACTTTTTCCCCATTGCTACTTTTACAATTATTGTATTTATTCGATCATGCTTTTTTAAGTATTATCGTTTTTCATTGATGAAGGATTGATTTATGTAACTAAATTAATTAATTAATAAAATCAAAAGTAAAAAAACAATTCTCATAAAAATGTTTATACGAATTTGAAAATCGTACAAATGATATTTTTGCAAAGATATTTGAAGATGAGATAAAATTAGGTAGGAAATTTGGGGATTTGTTTCTAATAAATACAAACATTAGTGTTACATTTGCAATCTCATTATTCGAAAATCCTATTAACACTCGATTTCTGTAATCAACAGAGACATTAATATGCATTTTCAAATAAATACCGAGTGCCGAATTTGGAAGAGACACATTTCCAAACGCTTTTACGCGGTGCTTTTCATAGAGGAATGACCGTTACGCGATTCGACCAGATTGCGTCATATTTACTCATTGAATTTCCGAAATTACGATTGTGGTAGGTTTGATTAACGCCGCGTTTTCGTGCTACATACCTGTCTCTAGCCATAGAACATTCCTCGTCGTACTTTACCCATACCCCTTTTCCTTGTTTTCTCACCTGATGTTCATTATTATTATTATTATTATTCCTCCTATCTCTATTATCTTTTTTATAAATTTCTTATGTCGTACTTCTTTTTTCTTATCGTTTATTACTAACCTTATTATAATTATAAATTACGAAATGTTAAAAAAATATGTTGACATTATTTATTCGACAAAAAATATTCTAATTTCTAATCGAGATAAGAAATCATAAGAAATATTAATATTCATTTGAATAAAAACTGATACAAAAAAACAAAAACGTCTAGCTATATCGTTATATATATATAGGTATATTCTCGGTTAGAATAATTTAAATGAGTTTATGACACGAGAAGTTATATATCGAAGACGCACGAGTAACCTTTGAACCCAAAGTGAGATGCAGAGTTTGCGCAGAACATGGTCGATTTCTGGTATTCCATGAAATACGCACGAAACTCAAGCTAGGAAGAAGCTCGTTGGGAGAACACGGTGAGGAAGGAAAATGAATTAGTTGATTCAAATTTACATGAAGTTGTAAATACAGCGATTGAAGAACAAGAGAGAGAGAGAGAGAGAGAGTGGGAGAGAGAGAAGGGTGTTCAAACGGGTTTTGTGTAATTAGCGAATTTGCATTGCAAGCGGCACGTGCTGTCATATTCTTTCTTTTTCTTACGACATTACTTGTTTTTTTTTTTTTAAGGAAATAAAACAAATAAAAATAACAATGAATTAAGATACAGATCGAAAAAAAAGAAACGAACATATTACATAGGTATTTTTCTATTTACGAAACAAACAACATAAAAAAAAAATCGTTTCCTTGTATAATATCGATGATCGACGTGTTTTTAATACGATTCGTATAAAATAACTAATTGATCACAAATAAATTGAACTTTGATGATCGATGCATAACGAAAAACTATCGGTAATTCGACATTTTATACCCTTATCGTGATAACGTTATTTATTTTTGATAACAACGATGATTTTTTACTTTGTCAAACGTATGAAGTTGAATTTAAAAAAAAAAAAAAAAAATTAATTATCATCAACCACTTGTTTGATTAGTTTTGTTTTTGTTTTTTTTTTTCACGAATAAGCATTTTAATGGAAACAAAAAAGAAGAGGGGTAAAGAAGGGGTGTAAAGAAATAAAAGGGTGGATCGGTAATAAAGGTAAAAAATAAAAAAATAAAAAGAAGATCGTTGAGAAGGAAAGAAATGGATCTCGTGGACGAGGTGAAAAGCTTTGTTCAAATTCAAAGCCCATTGAGATGCAAATACGCGTTAGCTAGCGTGATTTACGAGAAACATACGCGTGTCCATAGGATGCAAAGAACGAGACAGAAGGAACGTTTCCGAGGTTCGAAGGTGTCCGAGGTACGGACAAGATAAGATCTTTTCCGAGCTAGCACAATGCTACCGAGGATTTTTTATACCGGTGAGGTATATTCTTTCGTGAGGAAGAACGATTCTTCGATTTCCATCCTCAACCAACTTCCTTTCCATTCTCTCAATAAGATAAAAATGAATCTTCGTCGTTGACTGGCTAGTTTAAATTCGATTGAAACTACCGATTTGATTTCTTTCAAGATTAAAGTATCACTTAAGAAACAGTCAAAAATCTATTAATGATCGATCGAGAAACGAATAAAAGACGAAATGATTGCATCAGGAAAGAGTTTTTATGATTAATTATTATTATTTGTAGATTTTTCTTAACGAAAGATATCTTGGTAGTAACAGACAGTCGTATTTATCTTTGAGATAATTTGGATTTATTTAAAGATTTAAAAAATCAATCTCTATTTTTATTTAAGAACGACAATTTTGTTCTTTTTTTTTTTTTTTTATAAATTCACGATAATTGGACGGTCTCAAATGCATCATCGACAGTGTACTTCAATTATATTTAAATATTATGAATTTGTTGAGAGAGTTTAAAAATAAAATAAAAAGATAAATAAATACACGATGTATATATCATCATTTTTGAATACAATATACATAATATCACTTTTAAATTACAAAAGATACAAATATGCAATTATTTTATATCGGGGGTGGTTGGGGGGGGGGGAGGGAAATATATAATTCTCCATAAACGATATTACGAAACTGTCTGGGTTTTATAAATTTTACAAAATCTATTGCAATGATTTCGAAATTTCCATCCCAACGGTATTAAAATAATTTTAACTTATATTCACAATGTATAAAGTGGAAAAACAGGAAAATTCAGACTAACAGAAAGAGAGAGAGAGAGAGAGAGAGAGAGAACGAGACGAGAAAATTACATCGAATAATATTTTGCATTTCATGCTAATCGACAAGCTTGAATTCTCAAACGAATGAAATATTATATTTTTAAATGACACCGGGCGTTTGTCACGAACAAAACATTATCGATCTTAAAAATCATGTTGAACGATACGCGCGTCGAGGAGGAGCTTTTATACGCGATAATAACTAATCTCGTTCGTGATAAGAAAATTATCTTTCCGATATCTCTCGATAAAAATAAATTATTATTCATGAGAGTAACTCAAGTAGGCTGTTTAATCATCTCGAATAATCTCGCATGTTTTTTTTTTATTTTTTATACACTATGATTTAAAATGATTGATTTTTCTTTTCTATTCTCCACATCAGTATGAAAAATGAATTGAGAAGGAATAATGACGCGTCTTTAAATGATTCGTTATTAAATATCGAAACAAATCGTTTATCATATGATCGTTAACGTCACGTGAAATCACCGTTGTAAAATCAACACAACGATCTATAGTAATCATTAAAACATTATTATGAGATATTAATAATAAAATCTGAAAAATTTGTTCTAGTGTTTTAGCAATAAAGTTTACTTATATCTTGTGAGTAGCCAAAAAAAAAAAAATATTAAATTAACATCTAAGAGATTTACTAATGTACAGAGAGAGAGAGAGAGAGAAAGAGAGACGATTTTCAAAGGACTAATTAAGGAAAGTCGTTGATGCATCCATCGGCTTATGTTAGTCGTATTAAAACCGTATTCGCAAATAGATACTTGGCGCGAGAATAGCGTCGAGCAAAGATTTAAATAACTTCTCGTTCCCCCACCACCTAACCTCCTTCCCCTTCTGTTGTACCCCCACCCCTAACTAGCAGCGTAGCTCTCGCGGTCTCGACCCCGTCCGAGCATCGACGCGTAGATTATACCCGCGAGTGCAGAATTTTGCGAACGGCAAGCCAAGCGTATTGACGCGTATTGCAGGCGCAGGGTAAATCGAGCAGACGGTGGTGGCGTCGCGACGCCGGCTGCGCACGGCCATGCACCTCTCACCCTTAACTTTCTCTCCCACTTCTCTCTACCTTTATCCCCTCTCTATCCCCCTCTCATGGTCTCACACTCATGCGCGCGCGCGCCTATACGTTCGACCGAGCTTTTCGAATAGTAGGGGTGGAGGAAAATAGTGAGAGGGAAAATTTATAAAGAGCGAAGGGCGACATTAGGGGTAGTAACACCGATGGTTGTGGTATTGGTGGTGGTGGTACTGTTGGTACTTGTAGTAGTGATGTTAAAGTACTAGAAGGAAAGAGAAAGAGGTAGGAAGGGAGGAAGGGGGTTAGACTACTTGTTGCGCGTCGCGTCGCGGCGCCCTCGTGACGGTCCAACACGACGCCACCCATTTTCACAGTCTTCGACCACCACCACCACCACCACTACCACCACCACCACCACCACACTACCACCATTACCAACACAATCAAATACTCTATCTACCCATCGACGCTACTACGACCGACCATCGTCGCCCATTTTTCCCTACCCCCCACGAACGATTCCACCTACAAAAATAGACGCATTGTTGTGACGCAACAGATATCATACGAGTACGATATCCTTTTCACCGATGTTATATACAGGGTAACCAAAAAAGTTATAATTTAACTTCTAATTATGAGATTATGCAAAAGATTTCGTTAAAAAAATACGATAAAAATAGAAGATGAACTTTAAAAGTGTATTAAAAAAACATTTACCATTCTTTCCAATATAATTGGAATATTTGAAAGAATTCAATAATCAATAATTCAACGAATGTGGAAACATTATTATATTTTTTATAACCGTCACGATAAAACATATAAATATCTCAAAGAGAATGTATCTTTTCAATAAAGCAGTTTATATATATCATTTCTTTAGAGAAATATTAATTTTCGAACATAAATTGGATATTTAAAATAGTACGTTCGATAATTTAAGAGCTTATTTTGATAATAAAAAAAGAGTAATAAAACAAATTCAAATGAACTTACCTGGATCTGATGTGCCGGATTGTTAATATGCAATTGTTGAGCTTGGTTGATTTGCAATGATGAAGTGCCAGGTCCTGAGGGAGGTCTAGGTGGCGTTGAATTACTAAATGGTCCTTGAGATCCGGTTTGATTGGGACCACCACTCTGTGATCCTCTTGGAGGTAATGGGTATCCAGGACTACCGTGATTCGGCATTGAGCCTGGACTTCCGTAGGGAGAATACTGTTGTTTGTATCCACTGCTTGGCCCTAGCATACTCGGTTTTCCACCAGCATTTGGTTGCGATCTCTTCATGTCTGGCAAGCCGCCGGCAAATTGCGTTTGGGAGTTGACGAACATGTCGTTCGTTTGTTGACTTTGGAACCCGGTTGCGCCATTGTTCTTGTGATACGAGCCTGTACCAGTTCCCGGAGTTTGATTTTGTCCACCTGGAGGTGCTGTACTTCCTGGACTACCCAAATAATCTGATGCTCCAGTAAATTGAGGAAATTCTGCGTACGGTGATCTAGTCGCAGGTCCTCTAGCAGCAGCCGCAGCTGCGGCCGCCGCTGCTGTCGGATTGAAACCGCCCAGTCCAAGCTGCTGACTTTTATGTTGATGTTGTTCGGCCATTTGCTTCAACGTCTGAGCTGCCGGACTCATTTCAGATTTGAAATCCAAGCCTCCATAAGGTAGACGAGCTGGAGAATATTGCGACGAAGCGAGCGCACTTGGACTTGAATTGGCAGGCATTGCGTTACCGTTATTAGCGTTTGTACCGTTGTTCACGCCGTTATTATTAGCGCCGTTTCCATGTTGCTGTTGCTGTTGCTGTTGTTGTTGTTGCTGTTGTTGCTGTTGTTGTTGTTGTTGCTGTTGTTGCTGCTGTTGTTGTTGTTGTTGCTGTTGCTGTTGTTGCTGTTGTTGATGATGTATCACATCCTTGTCGTCTTCAATCTTAATTTGGCCATTGTTTGGCGGCATACCATTGTTATTGGGATTATTTCCATTAGCTACAGCGGCTACTGCGGTGGCAATAGAATTGTTCACAGCATTATTCACAGGAACACCTGTATTACATCCAATCGTGTCGACGCATTTGTCCTCAAAATCAAAGTCCTTTAATAATTCGGAATTAAATTCTGATATTTCCGAAAGGAGATCTTTAAAAGCGTCTGATGCAATAATCTCATCGCCTGTGTCATCACCCATAAAGTCAGAAAAACCTGGAAATCCTGCTCCGTTAACCGCAGCGTCCTTCTCCAAAGCAGCAGCACATTGCTCTAAATCGACAAATCCGTTATCAGGTTCTTGTTTGCATTCTACGAGATTAGAAATGTCTACGCAACCAATTGCATCGGAGCTACCTGTCGCGGTTCCTCCAACTGGCCCAGAAGGTACACCAACTCCACCAGCTCCAGGTTGCGTTCTTCCGTTTCCACCACTTCCTCCGGCACCGTTCCCACTTCCAGCCCCAGCACCGGTCGGATCTGGTTTAGGTGAAGATGAATTTAATAAATCACTTTTAACGGAAGCATTCGTCAACGCCTTCACCGTCACATTCGTCGATATTTGTTGTGCTTGAGAATTGGCTACAGAGGTGGTGAACTCCAATTGTTGCACAATTTCGACGGAGAATTTAGTCAGACCTTCGTTTGTAGCTGTACCACCGCTTCCACCGCTGACATTATTGCCACCGTTGCCTCCACCAGCAGTAGCACCGCTACCTGGTCCATTCGGACCCGTCGAATTCGTACCACTTCCAGCTTGATGCTGACCGTGACCAAGATGAGGTCCACCACCTCCTGCACCTCCTCCTCCGCCACCACCATTATTCGTAAGTTGACCTGTATGTTGATGCTGCGCTTGGGTACATTGCAATTTCACCGGTGGTTCGCCAAATCCTCCATCGGTGCCACCAGCACCGCTTGCCTCCAACTCCTCGGCGGTTCTCTTTAAGAATTTCTGCTGCTGGAACAAAAGTAAATTACGAATGAGTTCGATCTCATTTTCCAAAGCTATGCGCTTTGATATAAACACCACGCGCTTGCAATCGTTGCTATAGAAATGCTTAAATTATTATTATTTCTTCAATCGGAAATTATTAATTAAATTCTCAATATCCGTATAATGGAATCCGTGAATTACGTACGTAGGTTGTAACGTAATCATATATCGAATCTGTGTTCATCGGACTTGCACGTTCGCGTATCGAAGCGTGTGAACGCTTAAAACGAAATAATAATATTTATACAGCTTAGTATTTTTCATATTTTGCTGAAATCAAGTTAAAAAATAATAATAATGGTTATAATGGTAAAAAAAAAAGAAGTATATTCTGGTACCATCAAGTTATTAAACTTGTAATAACTACTATTATTATATGAAATGAGTGAATGATAAAAATCGAAAAGTAGGAATACCATCGAACTTCTTCTTTTTTGCAATCGGATTAAAGAAAAGCGACGGCGCGTTTAGCTGCCGGTACTTGGTAGTTTTTACTCATCACGAAGGTAGTCCGCAACCGGTAGTACAGGATACTTAGCTCCCGTGCCGCAAAGTCAAACAACGCGATGTCCATCGACTCTCGTGGCAAAGTCGTTTCGCAGACTTTTTTTTCTTCTAATTAACCTGACAATTTCTCACCGCACCTGTCAATACCTTTGCAAAAGCTTTTTCTACCAAGTTATCTTTGTACGAAGAAAAGGGGCACATTCGCGTTCCTTTTCGTCGACCACCAACGAGAATCGAGTAACCACACTGATCGTTTTCTTCACTTAGGAATTCTGATTCCACGCGTGACACAGTAAATCTCAGTTGTTAAAACGATCGTCCTACCCCCATTCTTCGTACCATTACCGTGTTCTTCTTGTACTTTTGCGAGTGAGCACGCGTATCGAAATGTTACGTGATACTATGTGTACTACAAATATTTTTTTATAAAATATTATCACACAAAAATACATCATAAGATTGATTATGAGAGGTTTTTATACAGAAAATTAGAAAAAACAAAAATATTATGTGTGCAGATCACACGTGCTAGAAGTGAAACTTTCAAAAAATTAAGTTTCGAGAGAATAAGACGAATATACAGTTTCAAGAGTGAGATAATTGTAGGGATTTACTTATTATAATATTGTTGCCATATATATCAAAGGGCACCGACATAATTTTTTATTTCGACCTTCGGTTCGTTTGTACCTTATTCTTTTGTCGACTACCTACACACTTATCTCTGTTTATTCTTCTACCCTTTCTTTGTTGTACCTAACTACAAACAGGTATACAAAACTTAGTAGCCAGGAATGGGGATAATGAATCCAAAACTAAATATAGGAAAAACTGTATTGGGATCTCTGGCAGGGAAGGGGGGGGGGCCGTGGCGTAGGAATTCCACCTATCTTCTCTAATTTTGAATTTAGCCACCAAATAGCGCATTCAAGCGCTATAGGTCCCAATAGCAATATACTGTCTCATTCTCTCGCAGCCTCAATTCTATATGTTTGTCTCTTTTTCTCCTTTTCCCCCACTACATCGTCCGCTTCTTTTCCCCCACTACATCGTCCGCTTCTTTTCCCCCACTACATCGTCCGCTTCTTTTCCCCCACTCCGTCATCCGTTTTCTTCCCCCACTACATCACCACGTTTCTCGTTTGTTCAAATAACACACATTCTAAAGAAGTTTTTACTACAAAAAATATTGAAATGTTAGTTAAATATCATTTCGATTCGTAGACATTTTTGATTAGTTTAGACATGCAGTGATCGTTTTTAAAAGAAAGCTATTGCGGCAGAAAAGAATTGCATCGAGAATGTCACGTGTGCTGCACAAGCGACGACAAAGAAAGAGATATTGGATAGGCAACTCGCGTTTTATATTATATAGGTCGAGAGGCAAAGAGAGAAAAAGAGAGAGAGAGAGAGAGAGAGAAAGAGAGAAAGAAAGAGAGAGAGAGAGAGAGATGGAAGTAAAGCTGGGAAAAGGGCTTCGGACTGGAAAGTTCTGCCAGCTTTTTGAGAAGCAATTTCACAGGACGAAATGTGCACTGCTGGTTGACAGATAACGCTGCTTCTGAGTCTTCTCCTGTGCTCGTGTCAATATCCGCTCTACATTTCTACTTCTCTACTACTAGCCCGTGCCTTTTCTCTTTATAGGGCTTATGCAAAAAAGGGAATTTTAAATGGAATTCCTCTTCTCTCGAATTAATTACTTTCCTCGAGTTCCGTTCGGTATCGAAGAAGACCACGCTCGCTCGAATGTTCGAAATCGAAAGCTCGCGAGTCACGTTTGGAACGCTCGTTAAAAAGCTCTGATCATAAACCACCACGTTATAAGAATTTCGAATAACAAACTTAGTGATTTAATAATATTAAAAATCTTTTTACTTATAACTAAGTATCAAATAATAAATTAATTATTTCTATTTGATTTTAATAATTTGACTAATTTTGTTGAAATGATATTTCAACTTTTTAATATTTGTAGAAAATTATTTAAAATAACGAAGAAGATTTATCAATAAAATTTGTTATAAAATGAGATTAGATATAATTAATTGGAAAATAAGTATTTTTATATCAATTAACCTGAGAAATGATTACCGAATATTTTTACTATTAAGAGAAATAGATGAACTAAAATGGCGGACTTTTACAACCAAACAGAAATTGTTCGTAGCAATGGGCGCACGGAGCCATTTTGACTTGGTAACAGGAATCTAACGAGACTGCGCCAACGACGCGTTGTTGGAAACGGAACCTTCAGCCACGTTCTCGCTACGTCCGCCATATTTATCAATCATACTTCCGTAAAATGTTTCTTAAAGGGACCGTAAGAAACAACGGGACCCCCAGCAACGTTCTCGCTACGTCCGCCATATTTGTCAATCCTAATACGACTAAATTTGAATCAATTTAATATCAATACACACGATTTGAAAAAAAAAAAAACAAAAAACTTACTTTTTTAATACCACTTTTTCTCTTTCTTTTCCTGGTTTTTCTTGGCTTTGGAACCGCTTTTGTTTTTTCTGCAGCAGCTTTTGCTGCTTCGGCAGCTCTTCGCTCTGCTTCAGCTTTTCTTCGTTTCTTAATTACATCATCCAGAACAGCATTAACTAATATTTCTAATGAAGTTAAAGGTACTGTTGATGGCGGAGGAGGATATTTTTTCGCAAGAACACCCAAAATATATTCTTTGTAAGGAATCTTCATCGTAACTAACAAATAAACTGTTAAATTATTTTAAAGATATTGTTAAATGTTGATTAAAATAATATATAAAAAAAAAAATTTAAGTCAAAACTCTTATTACACTAAACTATCCTTAATAGCGTAAAATAATGAAAAATATTGTAATTTTTGTATTTATAAAATATTAAAATATTTTATAATAATTACACATGTATTCAGAAAATACTTTTTATTATTTTTCGCTACGGAAATAAAAATTACTCCCTGATAGTTTCACAAGATTAACTAAAAATTCTTTTGTTTCACAAAATTTTTAAACGCCCGCAACAATAATTTTGATTTTAATTAATAAACAGTAAAATACTGATATTATTTAAAACAAATTTAAAAAAAAAAAAAAAACAAACACGAGTAACCATTATACACAACAGGAGAAAAAGGTAATCAAAATGAAAAACGTATCGGAGATGCTTTCGTCTTGAAGATTTCGAAGGAACTAAAAATCATCCCCATAAGTCCCAAATGACTACGACCACCACCACCACGTCTTACTTCGATGGAAAATTTCGTCGCACGCATTTCCTGATTCTTCATTAGAAATAAAATGAAAGAAAAAAAAAAAAAAAAGGTCTGGTCAGATGTATATATACATGAAATCAACAATAGCTCCCTTTCCCACTTATATATATATAGAATAGATACCCTAAAACTGTTATAAATTCTTAAAAAAAAAAAAATACTAGGATAGTCCTTGAAATTTTCTTCGCAGGAGGTCTTTTTAGATGAACGTAGAAAAATGTTCAAGGACCGAAAAAGAAAGTTTTAGTTGGTAGAAAGGTCAGTAACATACATTTTAGGAATATTACTTTTCGGTATTTGTATATAATATTTTTATAATAAATAAAAACTCGCAGGGGGCCGCGGGTTTCTGGGAGACTGTCGGCTTGAGCACTGGTCCCACGAAAAGGCGGGTTTCTAAGTTAGTCGCTTGAGTACCTGCCCTACGATGTAGGGCGAGTATATATATATATATAGAAGAATAATTCTATAATATTATAGAAAAGTGTAAACAAAAATCTTGTAAACACACTAAAAATATACTAAATATTCAATAAATATTTATAAATATTGTAATTTTTGATGAAAAAATTTGTTTAAATTTTATGAAAAATATCAAAAGTCCGATTTTAAAATTCTCGAAAGAGAGAAACGAATTTACAATTCTTTCGGAATGGTTTTTTTTTTCGTTATTCTTGGAATTCTTTTACTTTTATTTGGAACAGACTAGAAAACATAAAAGACTAAGGGGGATCGAGAAGTTTTTCTTTCCAAGGTTACTAGTCCCATTACTCAGATATATATTTCTTTTTATAAATCTTATTTTGAAATTTGGTGAAATTATAGAAATATAATATTTCAATATTCACATAAATATCCGTTAAATAATTCAAATATTAATAATAATATTTACGACAACGACATTATTCATTGAAACTGTATATCTTATATTATTTATACCTCCTCTTGCGTCATTTTTTGTTGTAATTATACGTTAAATTGTTAATTATAAACTTTATCTCACAAAATAATACATGGTATTGCAGTTAATCAGTCAAACTTTTTAATAAATGGAACACCCCCAAAGATTAACTTAACACAAACACATTTATTTAAAATGTTACTTTCCCGTTAAACTATTGAGACACGATTATTATGTTTATATATATATATAACTAAATAATATAGAAATGTATAAGCTTACTGTTAAATGT